TACTGAGGCAAGTGTAGATGGATACAATCTGTGAAAAAAAAAATTTTTTTAAGTGTTTACTCTAGGAAGCTGTCATCTAGAAATAACAGCATACAGTGTTCGAAATGCATGTACAAGGTTCTTTGGTCAAAGCCACGTTGATAATACCACAAATCAGAAACGACCTAGAAGTCGACCATGAAGAGCTGAATAGTTAAATAAAGATGGGTATAGCTCTCCATGAATGCTTACAGGGGAGACGTGGATTAAATCTGTGTGTTCAAGCATGAAAAACATTTAGTAGAAAATGCCAGATTACTTTCAATAAAAAGGTAGCAACATATATACACACTTTTCTTTTCTTTTTTTTTTTTTGGCGTAGTAATCCTTTTGGGAAATAACAAACTAATAATAGGAATAACCCATGGTTGGCTGTGTGTATATATACTCATGTTAGTGTGTGGGTTTGGCAGTCATTATTGATTGCCCACCTCACTTTCTAACAGAATCCCAACTTTATCTAGGTATCCACCCTTCAGGGGGAAAAAAAACCCAAAACACAACATTCCCAGCTCTGTGATGATGCTGACTAGTCTATGCCAATCCTGGTATTTCCGTTCCTCTTCTGGTGATTGGTTAAGAGTGGGCATGTGACGCGGTTTTGGCCAATGAGAGCTGATGGGGGAAGCCACTGAGGAAATTCTGGGAAAGGCTTCTCTGTCCTTATAAGAGAGAGTGGAGTCTTTGGCCTGCATTGCCTCTTCTGAGTGGGACAGTGGAACCGCGGTGGCCATTTTGGAGCCATGAGGTATCCAAACGCAACGACCAAGTGCACACCCAGAGGATGGCAGAGAGGAAAGTTGGAAAGAACCTGGGTTCTGGTTGATGTCACGAGTTGCTGAGCTAACCAATTTTGGATCCGTGCTGCCTTAGGACTTCATATTACAGAAGATAATCAATGTTCTACTGCCTACATCAACAGGAGCCATGTGTGTGCTCTTCCTTGCAGCCCAAGGCTGCCCAACTGCTATGAGGGCTTAGGATTACAGGAACAGAAGCACTTGCACATTCTCATTTATTTGTAATTTAAAAACTGGTGAGATTGTGTGTAGATTTTACTTATTCTTTTGTCATTTCCTGTATTTTGCAAAGGAAAAGCAGAATATAAAACTGAGGCAGGCTACAGAGAAGCCTCCCTGTCATTATCTAGCACAAGAAGGCAGTGGTGTTGGCACTGACCCCGGGTCAGACAAACCTGGCCTCTCCTTTCTGCCTGTGCGACTTTGCCTAAAAATCTGAGTGTTAGCCTTCTTAACCATAAGAATAATTATAACTGCCACCTCCCAGGATTGCTATGGAGATTAAATGTGGACCTCAAGGATAAAAAACTGGCACCTCAGCTAATGTTATTCCTTTGATTCCCTGAACCTGAACTTTAATTTTTCTCAGGACTTCTGTGGGCCAGAAAATCCAGGGATGAACGCTGATAGTCAAGAGATTGGCTTTGGTGAAGAATGGGAGTTCAGGCCTCAATTGGACCAAGATGGCCCAGGGAATGAGTCAAAACATTATCTCTGATTTGGGACAACAGTAATCCTGAGGGCACCTGATAATGTCCTGGGGGACCGAAACCCGCCCTCACATTCCCAGTTGTTGCCTATAGTTTCCTTGTGCTTTCCCGGCTATTAAGATGAGGACCCGGGCCACACCTGGATATTGCCACTCTGTCTTGGGGTTGCTGCGTGGGAGTGTAGGAGTTGGTTTTCTGCTTTTTGCAACCTTCACTTAGGGCAGCTTCAGCCAAGCATATGGCCTTCACCCCCTTTGCGATTGGTGCCTTGCACAAGTTCAGAGGCAGCAGATCCCCCACAGCTCCTGGGGCCCCCTGCTCAGTGGGCTATAAAACACTATTGCTCTCAGCAAGTCCTGGTCATCAGTAATAATGAGACGGCTTTGAAACTGCCACTCTGAAACCCTAAACCAGGCCCAGACCCGTGTGTTGGGCCAAGTGCTTGAGAGAGGTTGGCCAAGGTTCGTAAACTCTAGACTGGGTTTGGAGGGGGCTTTCTCAGCCTGGGTTTCTTTAGGGCCTGAGCCTGCTTCAGCAGATGCTGGTCTGGGTGGTATGTGAACAGGCTGATTTACTAGGCTTGGGCAGAAAATGGGCAAAGCCTGGGGCTTTGACTAGTTCTCACTTTGAGGTTTTTGGGAAAGTGATTGAAGCCTGAATTGCATCTCCTGGAGGGAATTCTGGCCCTTTCTCCCTGACCTCATTCCCATAAGGCTCATATATTTCTTTCACCCACCACCCCAACCTTCTAAGATGCAGTGAGTGAGTGAACAGAGCTACCTCAAACAGACTGACTCTTCAATAATCTGGACATGAAAGCCTCAGAAGGGAATGGTTTTTGTTTTAATATGATTTTAAAGTTAGGCATGTGATGGTAAAGATCAATACTCCAAAAGACAGTATTGGGTTCTCCCTTCTTACTTTGAACAAAATATGACAAATCCCATCTGGGCTGCCTTGGCCAGCTGGAGCCCGGGAAGACCTTGCCAACTGTTAGCCTCTGGGTCCAAGGAGTAAGATAAAGGCCCTATTTAGTATGGTCCCATACGCAAAATCCCTAGAAAGGAACCCATGGTGGCCCCTGTTAAACTACATCCCATATGTGTGCGCGTGCATGTGTGTGTGTGTGTGTGTGTGACCTAACTTCGCAGATAAAGTGCTAGTCAGGGTCCCAGCAGGAAATAGCACATTTAAGAGGGATATTGAAAAGAGGTTAGTGAGGGACTGTTTTTAGCCTTGTGGGCAGGGCTAAGGGGAATCTAGAAGGGGTGCTGAGGGGGCAGCAGGCTAATAACAACAGAGAAACAGAAGGACTGCAGGGGTGAGGGAAGGAGCCCTGATTGAACCTGGGGAGAGAGCTGCTGTTGACAGAGGGCTGCCTGATGAGCTGTGGCCTTTGGTAGAGGAAACAGCCATGGTCTTCCGGGGGGCTTGGTCAAAAGGGAGCTGGGGCATTAATACTCCACTTCACTTCCTTCCACATCCTAATCTGCTGGTGCCTCCTCATGGTTGGACCCAATCAGCAGCCAGAGGGCAGGAGGACGTATGTGTGCATTCTATAAAGTCCTCCTTCCTTGGTCACAAGGCAGGGATGAAGGGCTCCCCAGTCTGTTCTGCATGATGATCATATAGAGAGGTTTGGTAACAAGTACAGAATCCCAGGCTGCCCCTGGAAGATTCCATTTCAGGAGGTCCGAGATGAGAAGCTGGTACGGTGCTCTGGGGGTTCTGCTGCTCAGCCAGGATGGATCACTCCTTCATGAGTCAGCGATGTTCTTGCGAGTAAATGTGATCACCTGGGTCTCAGTTCCAGATGTCCACTGAACCCTGACATCCTGTTCAAACCCGGCAATGAAGTTGACTTATCCGTTTATCCCACAAACATTTGCTGAGCACTTACTGTGTGCCAGGTACTTTGCTAGGTGCTGGGGGTCCAATGGGGATTAAAACCATTGCCCCTTCTCTGAATAGGTTTCTTGGTTTCTCTTGCATCTGGGGGAAATTCTATATTCTCGTGTAGCAGGATGGGAACATTTTTGGGAGATCGCCTGGTATTACTAGAAGAGGCTCTGAGCCTGTTGCTTAACCTCTCCCGTGCTTCAATTTCCTTGTTTGGGATTCAAGCATAATGACGGTGCTTTCTTCCATGAGCATTATGAGGACCAAGTGAAATAATATGTGTAAACCTTAGTCCAGAGCCTTGTACATCATAAACATCTAATATCATTGTTATCATTATTAATCTTACCATTGGTATTTCTTACTAGATCTTTGTCAGCCATCTCCCCATCCCTGACTCCAAAACAACAAACAAATGGGAAAATGCCAACTCTAGACTCACACTTTTGAACATTCCTTCTGAAGAAATCCGGGAACCATCTCTGATGTAATGGAATTTTATCCTCCATGGCTGTCCTATTCATGTGTTTACTTGATACATTTTTACATAATTTTTAAAATAGGAAGGCAGTTTGTAGGGATGCAGGGAATTTGTAAATGGTTCGAGGGTAGTGATTTTGAGGTGGAAAACAGGACTAATGGGGAAAAGATGAAAGGAATTGCAATTATTAACTTGCAGGAGAAATGGCTGAGGGGATTGGGGAGCCATCCTCTGGGACAAAAAGATTATTAAAGACAGAATGGCAACCAGCGCTTCTTCAGGAAAGACAGAACAAATGGAAGGCAGAGAGCATGGCAAGAGGGATTTCAGTTCTGCCTAAGGATCTTTCCCGGCAGAGATGGTTATGAGCTCCAGAATAGGCTGTGAAACCCTTCACCCGGTTCAAAAATAGGAAGAATTTGCACGATGATCTCTGAAAGTCCTCCCCTGATGGGGTCACATTTGAATAGGTAAAGGGTGGTGTCATGGGGTGGAAAGGTAGACGTGGGTCCCACCTCCAGCTTGGGCCCGAAATACCCACATGACGTCCTGTGGCCTCTGAGACGTCCAGTCTCCTCATCTGCGAGGGAAGGTTTTGGAACCTGCCTGATCCTCCAGATACTCTGTGCAAGTCCTGGGGCTCACCTGAAGTTTCCAATCACTGTGGACACCGCATGTGGCGAACACCTTGCTGGCTGGCACACCTTCTGAAATGCTGAATTCTGCTTTGAAGATGAAGTGTCTCTGTCGACTGGTCAGTCGAAAATTCATCAGACCCGCATATGGAACTTGTGTGTAGCTCCAGACATTTTTTTGGCTCAAAAATGACTTCGCTTTATAGTATTTTGCAGTTTTCTGCCTCCGGATAAGGAAAGAAGTACAAGAAAATGCCTTCATGTGAGGCAGACCCACTGCGTCTCATCATGGGTGTGTCTTGGGCTTGGGTTTACTTAGGCTGCAGGATGGTTTCTCCTCCTTCCACCTTTCTGTCTCCCCGGGGGTCTGTACACATAAGTCTGGGACAGCAGAAGGAGACAGACACTCTTTCAGCAATGTACCAGTAAAGAAGAAGTGCTGTGAATCTGGGCAAGGTGGGAGTCCTCTTATCTTGCAGGTTCTGCGCCGAGAGACCGGCCTGTTCTCTACCTGCTGGCTGGCCCAGGGCTTTACTTGCCCAAATCATCCAGGAGGACACTTGAGACAGCTGAAGGAGTAACAAGCAGGAAAGGAAGACGAAGAGTCCTAGGGAAGGAGGGAAAAAACGAGTAAATGCCTGGGAGGCTGGGAGAGAAGCAGACAGGAGGTGGGGTATCCAAATGGAAGAGGACTCCCTACCAACATCAGGGATGTGGCTTTGTGGGCTCTCGAGAGCTGGGAAGTGAGAACCCCCCAAAAAGAAGAAGCTGGGAAAGCTGAAACCAGTAGGTTTACATGAAGAAATGCCCCTGCATACAATGGAGTCTATAGCACTTGGAACGTCCAATTGGAACCTATAATAAAATATATTTTTTTAAAGCATTCTTCTAGATCAGGACTCAGCACACGTTTCCTATAAAGAGTCAGATAGTAAATATTTCAGGTTTTGAGGGTCTGTCCAACTACTAAACTCCACCATTGTAAGTGAAGGCAGCCATAGACAACACATAAACAAATGGGCGTGGCTGTGTTCCAAGGAAACGTAATTTACAAAACCAGGCAGCTGGCTGGATTTGGCATGCCTGCCATAGACGGCCACTCCCATCCCAGACCAGGGTTTCTCAAACCTTAATGTGTGTGTAGATCGCTTGCGGATCCTGACTTAGTAGGTCTCAGCTGGGGCCTGAGGTTCTGCATCTTGAACACACTCCCGGGTGCTGCTGGTCCACAGGCCACACTTGGAGAAGCAAGTTCAAACTGCGGTGGCCACAGGTTGTACAGGAATGAGGTGACTGGTGTGGGCACATGAGGTCTAAGAGCTGGGGACCGTGGGGCGTGCAGTGAGCTTGCCTGTCTGGAGGAAGCACCATTCCCAGGTCCTGCTGATTAGCGCTCTCTGGGAATACCATCTGCGTGCCCAGACATTCTGATTCATCAAGAGGAACAAGAAGTACAGCTTTTATGGGAAAGTCTTCTGATTTCTAAAGGTTTTTAACCTCCTGATTTTTAGTTTTTAAAGGTTGGCTCAAAAGTTTTTATAATCCTGCATGAGCCAAATAAAACATGCATGGGGAATGGCTCCTGCCCGCAGGCTGCCATTTTGCAACCCTGGTTCAAGAGCCTTGACTGCATGGGGCCTCCTTTCCATGAGGGGAGTATGGGGCTGAGCTTATATATACAGCATCTCTCAAGGTCAGGACCTGGAAAAGAAGGTATGCCCTTGATTTTATGGAAGAGGCTAACGAGCCTTGAAAAAGACAGAAAACAAGGCTGAGACTCATGCTTACAGTGGTGTACATATTTAAATTCAGGGGGCACCTGGGCGGCTCAGTTGGTTAAGTGTCTGACTCTTGATTTTGGCTCAGGTCATGATCTCAGGGTCCAGGGATCAAGCCCCTCATAGAGCTCCGTGCTCAGTGTGGAGTCAGCTTGGGATTCTTTCTCTCCCTCTCCCTCTGCCCTGCCCCCTGCTTGCACTCTCTATCTCGCTCTAAAATAAATAAATAAAATCTTAAAAAAAAATAAATGCAGGCAGATGAATTACAAAAAATGCAGCCCCTGTGGACAGACTAATTGCACAAAGCTGTTTTTTTGCAGGGCAGAAACTCCACATATAGGGGCTGACCTACCAAGGAACTTTCCCAAAGTTCCTGCGCTGGTAATGAAAGAGCTGGTATTTGAACTCAGTCTTGTGGACCCCAAATTCCATGTTCCTTACACCACCACCCACTGATTCTAGTTTTATTTTTTGTTTAAAGATTTTACTTTTATTTATCATCAGAGAGCGGGAGGGAGAGGGAATCTGAAGCAGACTCTGTGCTGAGCGCAGAGCCCAGTGTGGGGCTCAATCCCACAGCTGCGAGTTCCTGACATGAGCTGAAACCAAGGGTCGGACCCTTAATCGACTGAGCCTCCCAGGCACCCCTGAGTCTGGTTTTGATGGGTATTTCCAAGTGACAAAGTTTAACCTATCATCTCCCTGAAATCCAGCTATAAGCCGCATTTGTAAGACACAGGCATAGCCAATGTGATATTTTCATCTGAAATATTTACAGGTGGAAAGAATTAAAGCAAGTGATGGAGTATTGAAGGTTAATGCCATCTTTTAATATGGAAAAACTACTCTCTCTGCAAGAAATATACTTGTGGGATAATCTTGAGATATGTGTGTGCGTGCTCAAAATGTCAGCCAGAGTTTCATTAATTTCAGCCTCCCCCTAGAACACTACATTATGGTTCTGAGGCTGCGTGCTAGTGTGCTGACACAGGCGGGACCACGGCGTCTGGCCCTCGGGGGGGAATTTATGGTACAACGTGTGAGGAATCCATCATACAATTTGGCTGGTGCCCCCAGCTTCTTAATCAGAGATGGGAGACGCAAGACAAATGTTGCCTCCACAGCTTTGGGTGCTGTGTCTCAGCTCAAGCTTTGATCCATCAGGACAAACACTTCCACCAGGCAGGTCAAATTAATAAGATGCCTTAACACCCAGCAACTCAGGATACAGAGGAGTGCTCAGCCCTCAGCTTCTTCTGGGACGTTATTTAATAATTCTCTAGGGTAGAGGATCATGTTGTAGAGTTTTTAGGCAAGCAAAGGGCCTTGTGAAGGTGTCTACGACCTAGCCTCATTTATTCTGGCCTAGTTGGGAAGATCACACTCACAACGGAACCACAGCCAGTATCTAAAGATCATGGGCCCAGCCATTCCATCATGGATGCCTGTCTTATGAGCACATTCAAAGGGCTCATTGTCCTCTCAGCATAGCGCACAGATTAAGAGGCCATCTCTAGAGGCAGCTGGCCTTGTCTTCCGCTCCCAGCGACCCCACGTTCGAGCCGAGTAACTTGGGGGAATTATACAAGCATTACCTCCCTCACCCGCAACACGGGATCAACATTACTTCCTGCTTTGCAGCAATGCCGGGAAGATGACAGATACTGGGTTGACAGCACCCAGCACAGCACTTGGCATGCCGTAAACCCCTGCTGGGTTGTTGTCTGTGTTTGCAGGTTTTCCACACTCTGTGTGGCGTCTTGGATCCAGCCCCAGCTTTGGGGCGGCCTGACCGAGGTTTGAGTTTCTGCTCTGCCCCTCACCAGCTCTGTGATTTTGGGTAAAGCCTTTAATCTCGCAAAGATCTTCCTCTTCAGTAACACGGACATAATAATAGTGCCTGCCTTGGGGAGCTGTAGTTAAGACTGAACAGTGGTTGTATACAAAAAGCTTATGCTTAGTATATGACAATGCCTGGCATATACTGAGCACTCAATAAATGTTTATTGTAAATATTAAGTAGGATACGCACTTTGGAATCTGAGAAGCCTTTGGCTACATGTTAAAGGGGATAGTTCTACTCCTCCTTTAGAACATACCAAAGAACTCTGGGGAGTCTAATTGACCTTAGGAACTTTTATCTTTTAAACTCTGAGATCGTGCCAAATGTACTTCTTTGCACTTATTGGGAAAATAACTTTCTAGGGTGCAAAAGGTATCAAAAACTCATTAACTGCCACCCAATTCTTTCTGAAATGAATCTGTGGACCCAGTGTGGGGGAAGTGCATAAACCCAAACCAGAGTTACTGTTTATTGGGCAACTCTAATTCGGGGAGCACAGAGCTGGATGCAAGGCGGTGAATGCTAAGTCTGATAACCCTGCAAGGCCACTTTTATCGTCCATGTGGAAAGCAGGAGGAGCCTGAAGCACAGAGGGGATGAGTAAGCAGGGTCTCAGAGCTTGGGAATGATAGAGCTGGAACTTGAGCTGTCTCACGGCAAAGCTCCATGTTCATCACTGCCATCAGGGCTGCCAAGGGGCGGCCCTTGCACAGACGTTCTGTTTTTGCACTTTGCTGTCCTGACACATCGAGCAAGGCAGGTGTTCCTGTTTGTTTTGTAGAGGAGGAAACAGGCTCAGAGAGGCCATGGAACTAGCATGTGCCCACACAGCTGCAGGCAGAGCTGAGACTCACACCTCTTTACCCCACCTGTGCTGCTCGGACTCAGAACCTGGACGGCTTCCCCAGTAGGCAGAACCCGCTCACAGACGTGCTTGAGTGGGGGAGGAGAGAAAAGTTTATCCGAGAGTCCCTTAAAGAAGTTGCATTTTCCCATTATTGCTGTCTTGCTGGCAGCTCCTGTCATCTTGAGAAGATGCCCAGAGACTGATGTGCAGCCTGGCATTGTTGCCCCAAATAAACCATGGAGGGCCGATTTTCCTGCAATGCCGAAACAGCTAGCCTGGGTCTGCGAGTACATATTTCTCACTATAAAGCAAACAAGCCGACTGGCAGAGCACTGTAGGGAAAATGACATCACTGCAGAATTTTAGGGCTAATCATTTAGCTGGATTAGCCCCAAAGTGCTGTGTCTAAAATCAGCATCCCTGCCTCTTTATGTACTCCAGATGAAACACATTAGCAGAAATATGGCAAGGGACACTCACAATACTCGGTTCTACACTCTCAGCAGTTTTTGCAAATCTGCAATTAGTCTAAAGGGCCTGGGTAAATTAGGCCTCTTGATAAATGAAGCACCTAGACAGGCCTCAGATTTATTGGATCCCGCTGTCCCGCTGTCCAGAGCCCTTGTCAGCTCCTTGCGGGGCAGGGACTGTGCAGGCGGAAAGGGAAAAGGAGCATATTCCGGCCTGGGATTGCCCCCAAATCTTTGAAAAGACCGTGCTCCAGGCTGCCGCCTCTTTGGCCCTAAAAGTCTCTGCCAGGAACATAGTAGGTGAAGTCGGAAGCCTTTGCCAGGAAGTTTGTAGGGGGTGGGGAGTGGGGGTGGGCACAAGAGGCCCTCTCCACGTTCAATACGGGAGAGATGGGGTAGGCAGGGTTCCGTCCCATTCTGGGCCACCCAGCCGCCTCCTGATTCCTTGAACTGCCCATGGTTACCGATGGGCACCACGGGCCTGCCCTCCCAGGGCTCGCTCGCTCACTCTCAGTTGCAGTTTGTAACCCATTACTTCCCCAAATGAGGTTTTCCACATGCTTCGTGCAATAGACCGCAGGGGTGTTTGGACGATACGGAGAGGTTAAACAGATTCCAGACAAGTACCCCAGAGGGGGGTATGGGTCATGCCATCACGCAAACTCCGGA